ATATGCATCACTCATTTATGCTTCAAATGTTCGTTTGATGTGCTCAATAAGCATCCCTGTAACACACACAGTAATAACATGAATGAACCTGTAGACAATCGCACCACCGACACCGCTTCGTTTCATTACAATCTATTTGTGTACTGTATCAAGGAGAACATGGTAAGAAATTCTTACCTCACGTCCTGCTACGTTTTGGGCCCGGTTGTCCGCTGCTAAATCGACATCAGAGCTGGAGTCCGAATCCTGCTCGCCCTCCTCGAGGTCCTTACCGCCCCCTCTCACGTCTGCTACAGTCTCGCCATCAGTTTTCAGGCGCTTGGATGCTCTTCCATAGCCGCAATCCTTGCGCTGGCTTGCTCCTAGCTTTGTCGACATGGACGCAGCGTCTGCTGACTGAGAGGGAGATTCGTCCATGGTTGACATCCAGGTGATTTGGAGAAAATGTGTGAGGGGGTTTATTCCGCCCCGCGCTGTTTTATTGGTTAACCTGATTATGCGCTTTGGAAATACAGCGGGCGATTGGCCAGTGTTTGCGCGTCTCCCTTATTAGGTCTAAAGGGGTTTGCACGGCGCAAGCAGGGAAGAAATCGAAACATTTGTGTGATAATCAGGGGTGTCACCAGGTTTCATGGGCGGAAAGTCGTACTTAGGTCCCAGGAGATGCACAGATGGATAGATTTAAAAGGAAAACTATACTGTATAAAGTTGTTTGAAGTCACCATTAGATTTGAAGTGTTATTTTAATTCGGCACACAAACACAGAAAATATGTTTTCAATATGACAGTGATCCCTCGCTACTTTGCAGTTCAGTTATTGCGGATTCACTCTATTTCATTTTTTACTCTAACTTCATGTATTGCAGTTTCACCTTGCTGTTTTCAAATCAAGTACAACTTTATTGTCAAATGTGCTGTATGTATAACACAAGGGAGCACAATTTCCTCCCTCTTAAACAGACAGCAGACAACAAGAGGAGCGAGCCGCTCTGGGTGCCCGAGCCGCCATCAAAAGAACACCTAACATAAAACGACAAAATAATACAACACAACACATAAAACACAGTCGTGCCATCTTAACCACTTTTCCTCCATTCACTTTGTTGTTTGAAGCATTAATAGATGAAAGAGGAGCGAATCAAAGTGTTTTGCCACATGTTCTTGCTATTCTTTCTCTTTCTACGTCAAACCAGTCAAAAAAAATGCAATTTTTTAATGGGAAATTTATTTTACAATCCAAACCTGGGTTGGGGAGGGATGCTTTGGAGAGAAACAAAGATAGGGACCACAGGCCAATCAGTGCCTGTGTGTTTTTCCCCTCCTATTTGTTGTGTGCTTGTTCGTTTGTTTATTGAACATATACACAGATAATAGAAAATATTTTTAGTAGGAAGTAAAACGCTTTAAAAGAAGAAAAAACAAATGGTCATCTTTAAGCACTGCTACATGTTTACAAGAGGAGTAGGAAGAAGGAAATAATTTTTCTAGTCCTAGTCCTTGTTTGTGTGTATTTTGACTTGTTTCATATTAATACAATAACGGGTCATTCATGTGGTACATCCCAATAAGAAAAGGAAAAAAGTCCATTTAAAAACCTGCTCATATACAGTATACAACTGCACTTACAACTATGCGTACACATGATTTTTATTGTATTGTATTGTGTACGTATGTCAACAGCATATGTACGTGCAGTACTTTAGCTCACGCTCTGGCACATTTATATATCGTTACAATCTCATACACAAAATCAATATTTCATTCCTGTACATTACACTCAATCGAGCACATTCCCCGCAAAAAACGGCATTTAAGCGATTTACCACAAAAGGAAGCAAAGGGAAGCCCATAGATCAGGGGTCCCCAACCTTTTTTGCCCCATGGACCGGTCAGTGGCGGACCCTGAGGGCCAGCAAGGCCTTCTCTGATGGCCTAAACATTCTCAGAAAAGTAAATTTACTTTTTTGTATTTTATGTTATTTTATAATTTGTTATTTTATTTTCATAAATATGTAAACAAAATTATTCTCTGTATTCTTTACATTATATTATTTCCACTTAGTTGAGTGGCTTTCAATGTTATTTTAAATAACATTGAAAGCCACTCGATAAATAACTTATTTATTATGGTAGAGTTTTTAACCAATCATAT